TTGTCTTCATCTGGTTTTAGTATTAGAATACTGTTCATCTCATGAAATTCATCAGAAGGTATTTCCTTCTGTTTTCTGCAAGAGGTCATATAGAAAATCTATTTAATCTGAGGAAGGTGTGTCTGTATTTTATTATGCCAAGCCTATAGATGCCAGTGCACAATTCATAGAATAAGCTTGCTCACCCTGTAAGAACTGTTTAAGATATGTTTTATGTCCTGATCTCTGAGACTATGATTGTTGGTGTTATTTGCCTCAGAATAACCCACTCTCAACTCATGTAACCTGAAAAAAATACCCTTTATGTATTTTACTGCTGCAGATGAAAAACCGAACTACTCCACCAAAAGATGATAAAATTGATCAACAAATCTAGTGGAATTGCAGGACATTAAATCATTAAATAAAAGTAATAGCATTTATACACTGACAATGTTTGATTTTTTTATGGAGAGTCATAGCTCACTTATACTTCTTTGCTGGCTTCTTTTCTAATATTTATTTATCTATTCGATAGTATTGAGAGAGAAAAAAATATGAGGGAGAGAATGAGAGAAAGATAGAGAAAGAATCTTCATTTGCTGGTTCCCTCACCCATCAAATCACAACAGGCAGGGCTGGGCCAGACCAAAATCAGGAGACTAGAGCTTCTTCTGGACCTCTCACATAAGTGCAGGGGACCAAGCATTTACGCCATCATCTGCTGTTTTACATTAACAGGGAGATTAACAGGCACAGTAACAGAGAGATGGATCAGAAGAGGGGCAGCAGGTCTCAAACCAGTCTCAGGTGGCAGTTTCACATGCTACCACTGTACAACAGTGTCACTCTCCACCTCCACTTGCTGACTTCTAATCATCTATTTTCAGACTGCTAATAACTTTTTATCCACTGGGCAATCTAATCTCTCTACCAGTACTGCCCTTTTTTTCGTAGCTGTTCAAGCCTGTCCCAATATGTTGGTTTGGCTTTTAGATTTTTTTCAAACCTTAGTGACATCAAAATCATCAGGTAGACTTGTTGAAATAGGCTGTTGAGCAGCACCGCCAGAATTTTAATGACTGAGTTTGTACTTTTGTAATTTCGCAAGCAAGATTGATGCTGATGGTTCAGGGACCTCACTCTGAGTATCACTAGTATTCTTGTATAGTTGATCAAGGGGTCTTTCATATAGCTTCATAGATTTGATGGGTTACAAATTTGATATAACTGATTATAAATTTTACAGAAGAAAAATCTGACTATTCCACAAAAATCAATTTTTATTTTCAATAACACTTGAGAAACATTACATCAATTCATTTGGAGGATTCAAACATATTTTACAGGAAATGTTACAGGAATTATGACAATAAAAATACTTACCAAATTATATTTAATCATGAAATTCTAACTCATTTGGTCATAAAATATTTTTCCAGGCACAACACTTTGTAAAACACTATTCCTGGAGAAGGGAGAGTGGCTGAAGGTGAAGTTGATCACCAAAGGTCGATGATTTGATCAATTATGCATATGTAATGAAGCCTCTATAAAACCACAAAAGGACAGAATTTGAAGAGCTTCTGGATAGCCAAATGTTATTGATGTACAGAAGGGCGGGCATCAAGAAAGGGAAAAGAAACATCCACATTTCTTTCTCCATGCCTTTTCCAAGGCATCGCTATCATCCTGTGTTCTGTGTCCTCTGAATATCTTTTATCATAAAACCAATAAATGTAAATTGTGTCTTTCTGAGTTGAAGACAGGTCCTGGTAACTTGATGTATAGCTGATAGAAGCACAGGTAAAATAGACTGGGGCTTGCAATTGGCAGCTGATGTAGTACAGTCATATGCAATGAACCCTCCACTTGCTGTCGCTGACTCTCTCTGCGTAGATAGTATCATCATTGAATTGTATTATTGGATAGTAATGTGGCATCTATTACAAAATTACTTGCTTAATGTGTGTGTCTATTTCTACAAAAGAAAGAAGAACTCCCCACATGTGAGGTCACAGAAATGTTCTGTGTCAAGAAAGTCTAAGAGAAACTGAGTCAATTTTTCCACTGTGCACAGTCAGCTTAGTCAAAATGTAAATTATTGATTTATTACCATTAATTTACTCATTGCACATTCTTTATTCTTCTCCTTATTCTGATAATTAATGTAGAAGAGCTTCATTTTCTACTTACTGTGTTTACTTCTTTAAATTTTTAATGAATTTGCTCGTAATCAGAAACAAGAAAGATTTCCTTGATTCTGTTAGAACCGAATTGGCTTCAAAAGGGATGATAATCCTAATGAATTTTCTTCAGTATTTAATAGGAAATATCTATCACCAAGTGAAACATAGTAACAGAAAAGTAATTAGCTTCACTCAACATGTCTGGAGCTAACAATAAGAAATAAACGCTTTTTTATATTTTGTTTTTTTGTTGGAAAGGCAGAATCACAAAGAGAAGGAGATACAGATAAAAAGATCTTCCATCTGTTAGTTTATTTTCCAAGTGGCTGCAATGACTGGAGCTAAGCCAATTGAAGCCAGAAGTCGAAAGTCAGGCGTTTCCTCAGGGTCTCCCATATGGATACATGGTCCCAAGGTTTTGGGCCATCCTCCACTGTTTTCCCAGTCACAAGCAGAGAGCCAGATGTAAGGTGGCGCATCCGGGATATGAACTGGCACCCATACTAGATCTTAGCCCATGCAAGGCAAGGCTTTAACCACTGAGTCATTGTGCAAGGCCCAAGAATAAAGTCTTATTAATCCTGCAGTGTGAGAAGGATAGCGTGTTCATGAAGCTTGCAAAATATAGATTGTCAATTCCTTGGAATTTCGAGTATAAGAGTAACTTATACTCCTTTATTTATTTTTTGAAAGATTTGTTTTATTTTTATTGGAAAGTCAGATATACAGAGAGAAGGAGATACAAAGAGAAATATCTTCCCTCCACAGATTCACTCTCCAAGTAGCTGCAATGCACTCACTTGGGGAGTGATTCATCGGATGGAAGATCTTCCTCTCTGTCTCTCCTCCTCTCTGTATATCTCACTTTCCAATAAATAAATAAATCTTTAAAAAAAATGGAGATGCGGGGTATGGAATGCTCAAAAGAATTTATAGAGGAGAAACTTTCATGAGATTGATTAACCTCTCCAAAGTGAACAAGTGCAGTTAACATTTGATTCATAGTTCAATTTAATCTCATTTCTTATATACTGTCTTTGAGTTTCAAGCCATCTCCTCCTCATATTCAGTAATGAGGAACAGTGATGAATGAAGCTAAGGACTTGAATAAATATCTAAATGTCACATCTTATCAAGACAGCTTCCCCAAAGCACTGTATAAGATTTGGGGAGAAAAGAAAGATATGGCTACCATTTTATGGACCAAGGAATGTTTATTCTTCATCTCAGTTTTTTTTTTTAATTTATATACTTGATCACCTCTTGGCTTGTACAAATATAAACAGCACTGGATGTGTGCATTGTGTGTGTATGTGTGTGTATGTGTGTGTGTGTGTGTAGAAGGCCTCTGTTTAATTTAGATCAGAGCAAAGAAAACTGCCTCCGTGGCCCCTTTTAACATCAATTCTCTACTTACACGTAAAGTATATTCTAAATAATACTGGTAATGATATTAGTAAGTTATTGATCTGATGCTTTAAAAGGTTGTTTGGCAGATCATGTGCTTCTAATTAAATTTTCGTCGATTGTTTTAGGAACAGTGTTAAAATGAACATGGATTGGATTTGAAAGCTCTGCACACAGCACACAAATATAAATGTAAAAGTAAATGTACAGCAAGCTATTTTAAAGTTTTAACACAGATTTTGTGTGCCCTTTCCCCCATAAAAATGTCAAGATTCATTTTAAAATCTAGGATTTGTTGCCTAGAATATTTATTAGCTAAACCACATTCCTAATAGGTTAAAATGTAGCTTACCATTCATCTTCGCGTTTCAACTGTTATGCCCACCATTTATTATTTATTTTTGGAAACTTAGTCCGTATTTCCATGCCTCTGCCTCAGTGTCTTACTAAGAACCCTCACCAAATTGTGAAGATAAGTGATCAGTAAGTCACTGCCTTTGGTTCACTGAACACACACACAAAAAGCTGATTAGTCATCGGGATGACTTTCTCTTCCACTGAATTATAGTCATATGCCAGGGGCTGTGGTATAATGTGCATTAGGCACATGCTTTTTCTGAAGAGATTCTTAGAGAATATTCTGAAATTCGGCGGTGCTGAAGAATTTTGCAAGGCAAAATCTGATGGTAACTTCCCATTATAATTGGAATTTCAGGTAATAATAAGCACATGTGCTGCACACATTTAAATTTCATTATGCGGGTAAGACATTCCTTAGGACTTGGATCCCCCTTAAAATTAGATTTTTAAAGGCAATCAGTCTCAGTGTTTCTTGGGGCACAAAGTCAGAGTAAATTCTTTTGCAAAACGGCACAACAATAAATATAAATATCAAAAATGCAAAGCATTTGTGTAATGGTTAGGTTTTTCTGAAACATTTCTAGACACCAATTCAATCACTTAGACAAATCTACTTCAGTGTATGTTAGAAAAACACCCTAGGTCTGGAGCAAGATAAACAGGTTCCATAAATGAGAGTCGCTAGAAGGAGACCCCATAGCAACCTCAACTGCAATTATAAACTGGGTTTTACAAAGAGTGTAAATTGCTTTGTGAAAATTAATGCGTTCCTTATTTTGGTTCCAGATTGTGGACTGATAATACTTCTGTTTGTAACTAGTTTTCCTTTGTAACTAACAGGACTACTTTGATTTGGTATTTGTGACTTTCCCAAGCAAGTTTTAACATGGGCACATCTCTCTGAAACTTGCCAGTCCCATCGACTTTAAATCTCTGGCTTCTCTCTTCACAAGCTCCTTTACCCACTGCACAGCCTTGTAGCTATCTCTGTGGCAAGGCAGGGCCTCTCCTGGCACGAAAACTTGCCAGGTGAATCCGCCCCTCAGGGGCGTGTCAGTGCCATTTCCTGGAGCAATCTCACAGGGTGGCTCCACTTTTCGTTTGAGCTCAAATACTTTGCTGCATTCTCGGCAGCTGCCAGACCTGCTCCTGCTCCTGCTCGGGTAACTCATCTCTCCCTGGCACAACTTTAGGTAAAGGAGGTTGATAAATGGCTTGTATACATGTTCCTGCCTGCTTACATTTAATTTCATTGTCTGTCTCTGTTTGTTCCTCAGGGAGATCATCTGGGGAATCCCTTGCTGACCACTGAGAGTATGATGAGCTCAAGCTATTGGAGTGAGACCAGCAGCAGCAGCTGTGGGACTCAGCAACCCCTAGAGGTGCTACAGTACCAGCCGCAGCATTATCACTGCCTCCACCAGTCAAGTTTGCCTCAGCAGCCTCCAGAAAAAAATGTAGTATATGAGCGAGTGAGGACATACAGCGGGCCCATGAACAAGGTGGTGCAGGCCTTGGACCCCATCGGCTCACGGGAAGTGCTCTCCCCTCTCAAAACGGCTTCCTCCTACCAAAACTTGGTTTGGAGCGACCATTCCCAGGTACCACACCGATGGCTATGCTAAGTTAATGCGCAAGATAGATCTTGAATCTCATTTTTTTTTTTGGCTTCTTTTTCTCTGTTCTATGGGATATGTTTCACTGGCTTGCATTTGTCGAGAGCAACCTAAATTCAGTTTCTTTCATTTACTAGCACCTGTACTCATTTCTTTATAAGTTCATAAGATTTTCATGATTTAATCAGAGCACAAGCAGGTCTATGTTCCATTGGATTTGATGGAACTATCTCATCTGAAGTAGTTTTTTTCCCTCCTGTAAAACATTCTTCAATTTCAATACAGTAGGTTGCTGCTTTTTCCTTAAGAACAGGTTCTCACGGATTCATTTCATATCAGAAGCAAACAGATACCTTGTACCAAATATGGTAGTACAGGGACAAATTGCATGTATGGAGTGACGAGCAGTTGTGTTTAGCAAATAGCATGTTGCTCTGGGATAAGTGACAGGTGCAAATAGCTGTTTCATTTGCCATATATGTTTTATCTTCTGAAAATGATTGATTATTGTATATAGTCCGTGAATATTTTATGAAATATTGGGGGAAGTTATACTTTAAAAGTAGATATAGCTCTGAAGAAGGCAAAGTAGAAGCAATAGTTATTTGAAAGCTACAAAGGACAAACTTTTTGAAACATAATTTATACTGAAAGAAAATGTTAAATAATTTTTTTAGCACCCAATATCTGTGGTAACACTTTCCAATAAATGAAAAGTAACATTGCAAGAATGTATACAATGAATAGTTTTAGGGTCTGTTTTCATGCTATGTCTCTCCATTAAATTTTCATGTCAAGGAAGAAAAGAAAATTTTGTCTTTTTAAAATTTAATTTTGTATTTTTTTGTTTTGTTCAGACTAGAAACTCTCTATATTACTATATCTACATCACTTACATTGCCATTGCAATAATTTCTTGATTGTTATCATACATAACTTGTAAAATCCTAGATTCTGTTTGGTTTTCAAATACAAATAATACATGATCAAAATATCATGTCTCTTAGTTTTCTGGAAACTTTTATCCAAACTTTAATTATATTTTCAAGATTTACCTTGTAATGTAAGGAGCTCAAAATACATTTTTTGAGACACCATCCAATGTTCTTTTTATTAAACCAATTGGGAATAATATGACTTGTTTCCAAAAGCCAAAAATGTAAGTAACATATGAAGTGACATTCTAATATGCATAATGAAAATATTTGAAGGCTATTTTCAAAGATGCATATAACCCTAAAATCCAAATGCTGCACAGTCTTTCTTTTATTTCACTGCTCACATAATTTCAGGAGAAAACATGAAAAAACAATCTAAAATTTGCTATCAGAAATTTACTGATTGAGAAAAACTCTACCTGCATTAATGGCATCAGAAAAAAAGAATGTATTGGTCAAAACTACTGGCTTGTATAAGTGATAATAATAATGCAAATGTACATTCCAACATTCAGTATTGGGACGATAGTATCTAACCATGTGGGTGTCACATTTGGTTCCTAGTAGCCCCAAAGGAATGTGAAGATGTAAAACAACAATTACTGCTATCATAGGAAGGCTAAAATCATTGTATACTTCATTGTTATTCTAACACTTAACCTCTTTTTGTCAACTTATTAATAAAAAGAAGATAAAAAAGCATTTAAAACCGAAATGTATTAAATCAAAAATATTGACTATGGAACAACTTTTCAGGATCATGTTTTATTATTTGCTCCATAGTTCAACTTTCCCTTTTAGTAATTGCAAGACCAAGCTGGGTAGAGCTTCTTACAGGACTTACCCTCTTTTACCCAAAATTTGAAAAAGGGATCCTTTCAGGACCATCTCCATCCTACAGTGAAATTCTCTATAGAGGGGTTTGTATAGCCTCATAGAGACCAAAAGTATGACCACAGAAACTAGGATAAGAGATTGGAATGGAGGATCTTCTGGAATCTAAAATTATTTTTATCATAGGAAAGAAAGAAATGTAAGAACTTGGTGTAAATGAGGAATGTGAAATTCAAGCTGTGAGGGAAAAAAAAAACCTATTCCCATGGAGAAGTAAGAAGAGAAAATTTAATTATAAGATTTCAAACTGAGTTGGATATTAAAGGGTATTCACAAATCAACTGAAAGAATGTGTGTAGCAAGACAGCTAAGACAGCTTTCAGATAGCTGCCACAAAGCATTTGAACTAGAAAACATCTGTTTTATTTTTCCTTCACACTGATTATTGGTAAGATTATGGCACTGTGTATAGTAACCAAATGTGATCTGAAATGCCTGTATACTGACAAAATGGGGATGCGATGGCAGCTTTATCTTGTACAATTGCCAAGCACAAACAAGTAGCACATATTACCAGAAAAAAAAAAAACCTTTTATTCATCTGATGTTTTTATTCATCTGATGTTTTGTAAAGTATCTCCCTAATATCCCATGATTCTGATAGATTGTATGTAGCGATTATTCTGATACCAAGGTTTGCAACTGTGGTATAAGGGAAAATGGGTATTGCAATGAATTGATGGTTACCATGAATTCATTTAAACTTTTATTTTGCTTTTAGCATTTTGTTGTTCCAATGACATTCAAAAAATTCATGAGCATTTCAAATAAAAATTGCCAGTGGTTAAATACGTTCTTTGCAAGAAACCAAAATTGATGTCACTCTACTTTGCTTGCTGAATCTTAATTTTAGGTCATGTAGTAGACATTTTAGATTTAACCAAAAGCTTTTTGCAGCACTTTAGCAATTTCTATTTCTGGATTTTTAGCACATATTTTATTCTACTTCCCTCTTGTGCACTGAAAGGCTGTTTATGGATACAAACATTTTAAATTTGTACAGCTCTATGAAGTTGCTTGGTTTCTTGTGTATACTTTGTCAGATATTTTCGTTGTTTTCTTGGTAATTATTTTGTTTGAATCATTGGGTGTTTCTTATAAAAACTTAACTATAGAAACCTTACTAGTGAAGTTGTCTAAACTGATGATAGAATTAAAATCACTGGGTTTGACTATATAAGCAAGTAAAACCAAACACGGGTATAATTAAAGTTACAGATGACATTTTAAGAACTATATGCAGACTTGAAAATAAATGGAGTTCCAGAAACTGCCAGAAATAGAAGAAAACAAAACAAAATCTTACAGCTCAGGCTTTAATAAGGCTTAAACATTAACTTACTATCACTAAATGAAATACTGACGTAAAGGAACAAACTTCTGTGAATTACTCATTAGATTTCTACTTTTTCCCTTTAATTCGTTTTGATTTTCTTGAAGTTTTGCAGGTATACAGAAGTGCTCTGTTGTGAAAGGAAAGAGCATATTTGTGTGTGTGTAAAAGAGAGAGAGAGAGAGAAAGAGTGAGAGAGAGGGATGGGTTAAATAAAATATTTTTAATACTAGTCATCTGTTGAGCTGTTTATCAAGTTTCTATTTTGTAGGAATCTATTTTGCAGGTTTCCAGATAAATACTGTTTGGTTCTCTGCTCTAGGACAAACAGAACCTAGCCTGTAGGTGTCCCATATGTCTGTCTGTACTTCATTTTTTAAAGAATATTTTTGTTGTGATATTCAGCATTTTAAGAATAAACAAGATTTGTGCAAGAGGGCATCTCTTAATTTGCATCTTACAAGGGTTTTTATTCTTTTGAATTTGAAAATTTCAACCAAATCTAACACTAAATTATGGTGTCTGCTCTCAATAATTATTCAGTTGGCGCTTATCTTTGTTGACACTATTTTTTTTCCTTTTTCTTTGCTTGAAAAGATTGTGGATAGATCCCCTACTGTGCCAACATTTCTTTCCCCTCCAGAAAATCTTCCTCTTCTATAGGGAGGGGTATTTTACTATGAAAAGTTGTTGTTCAAGGGCGTAGTCACTTGGGTGAACATTCAGGGAAGTGGTTTGCCTTGAAAAAAGAATGAGGTCATAGGATAAGGGGGCCTTCATTTTCAGCTTCCGTCATCCTTTTTGTGCTTACAACCAAATGAAACTATAGAAATTGTGAATGCATGTAATTGCTGGATGAAAATGCTCACAGCAATCATATAAGGAAGGTATAATAAATTGCTGGACCTATTTTCAGTCAATGGAATGCACAAGCTGTCATTGTGTGTCTGTGTGTGTATGACTAAATATGCAGGCACACATGAATCTCTGCACGTGTTCCAGAGAGAGATGAGAGGACAATGGGAAGAGAGGATAACTTTCAACTGAACAGGTCTAAATCTCTCTCTCTCTCTTTTTTTTTTTTTTTTTGACAATTTCTGGTAAAAACAGCTGGGTGAAATTCCATGCTCTTAAACTCCATTTGAAAGGTCAAACCTTTCTAAATAAATATTTTAGGCCATTTATTTTCATACCAAGAGCTAACACAATAGAGATCCTTTTTTACTTCAATGGAATAATATGAGAACTTCAAGAAGCTTATGGGAAGACGGAATTTCAGAAGTAATTTTATCTTGGTGAAAAAACTGAGATCCATGTATAGTTTGAAGCAATCTTATGTGCCTGGATTTCGATTGTTTTGCACCAAAACAATTTTTCTTTTAATTTTGTTTCCCAACAACTTTTTAAAGTGTCTTATATGCAAATTTGGTTTCTTTATTTAAAGGGATGGGTCGTTCACATGGGGCCCTAAACAAATTTATCATTTTCATTTTATTTGAAAGAAAGGGAGAGATGGGAATCTTACATCTGTTGGTTCAATCTCCAAATGCTCACATTAGCATAGACGGCAACAGGTGGAAGCCTAGAGCCTGAAATTCAAATCAGGTTAGAATCAAAAACAAAGCCAGGACTGGAACCCAGAAACCTGGATATGGGTTCTTATGTCCCAGGTGGTGGCTTAATTGCTGTACCAATAGCTTGCACCTGTTTATAGATTTAAAACCAGAGAAAAATATACCGTTAAGGGGCTGCATGTTTTATTTCCTCTCTGTCTCATAGTTCCCTTCAAAAATGAAAATAAAAAACACTGAGCCTCTGAA